ATATGGCACGCAGTAGTGAACCACTTGTGTGTCGTGAGGCAAAAAGCAGCAAACATTTTGGACATAAATTTACTCTAAGCAGAAAGTAATAATACAGACAGCACTTAAACACACATCATAGTGTGTGTGTGTGTGTGTGTGTGTGTGCGAGAGAGAGAGAGAGAGAGAGAGAGAGAGAGAGAGAGAGAGAGAGAGAGAGAGACAGGTTCACTACTGCGGGCCAGAATTCCAACAAACATCTCATGCGAGACAAGCATTGGCCCGCAGTAGTGAACCTGATGCTGTTGGACAGGGAAAGACGTAGCGACAGAGACTACTGCGGGCCAAAACGACAACAAACAACACCGGTTGACACTGATATGGCACGCAGTAGTGAACCACAAGTAGTTGGAAATGCAAAGACGCAGCACCACCGAGAGGTTCACTACTGCAGGCCAGAACTCCAATAAACATCTCATGCGAGACAGGCATTAGCCCGCAGTAGTGAACCTCATGCTGTTGGACAGGGAAAGACGCAGCGACAGAGAGCGGTTCACTACTGCGGGCCAGAACGACAACAAACAGCACTGGTTGACACTGATATGGCACGCAATATTGAACCACAAGTAGTTGGAAACACAAAGACGCAACACCACCGAGAGGTTCACTACTGCGGGTCAAAACTCCAACAAACATCTCATGCGAGACAGGCATTGGGCCGCAGTTGTAAACCTCATGCTGTTGGACAGGGAATAACGCAGCGACAGAGAGCGGTTCACTACTGCGTGCCAGAACGACAACAAACAGCACCGGTTGACACTGATATGGCACGCAGTAGTGAACCACAAGTAGTTGGAAACACAAAGACGCAGCACCACCGAGAGGTTCACTACTGCGGGCCAGAACTCAAACAAACATCTCATGCGAGACAGGCATTGACCCGCAGTAGTGAACCTCATGCTGTTGGACAGGAAAAGACGCAGCGACAGAGAGCGGTTCACTACTGCGGGCCAAAACGACAACAAACAGCACCGGTTGACACTGATATGGCACGCAGTAGTGAACCACAAGTAGTTGGAAATGCAAAGATGCAGCACCACCGAGAGGTTCACTACTGCGGTCCAGAACTCCAACAAACATATCATGCGGGACAGAAATTTGGCCCGCAGTAGTGAACCTTATGCTGTTGGGCAGGGAAAGACGCAGCGACAGATGGGGGTTCACAAGTGCGGGCCAGAAAGACAACAAACAGCAGCGGTGGACAGTGACATGACACGCAGTAGTGAACCACAAGTATGTCAATATTGTAAAAGACTGCGAACATTATAGACACAAAAGTGTGGACGAGGAAGTTGTAATACAGGCAGCAATAAACATACATAATAGTGTGTGTGTGTGTGTGTGTGTGTGTGTGTGTGTGTGTGAGAGAGAGAGAGAGAGAGA